TTACTATCTTTAACTATCTTTTTTTCTTTTTTCTTTTTGAGGAAGATTAGCCCTTAGCTAACATCTTCCACCAATCCTCCTCCTTTTGGCTGGGGAAGACTGGCCCTCAGCTAACATCCGTGCCCATCTTCCTCTACTTTATATGTGGGATGCTGCCACAACATGGCTTGACAAGTGGTGTGTAGGTCCACACCCAGGATCTGAACCTGGCAAACCCTGGGCCACCAAAGTGGAATGTACAAACTTAACCTCTGTGCCACTGGGCTGGCCCCAAGAACTATCTTATTTTTTTTTTAAATAGCTACATGGTATTCCATTCTTTGGATATCACATTTATTTATCCATTTTCTTCTTCATGACCACGGCAGATGTTTGTTCTCACCTTCTTCCTTAGTAAATGAACACCCTAATTCTGGTTATGCGGCTGTCTAGGATTGGACCTGCATTTCCTAGCCTCTTTTAGGCGTAGCTTTACAGCTAAGTTTTGACCACTGGGATGTAAGTGGGAATGTAATATGTGACTCCCAAATTATGTCCTTAAAAGGCAGAATGTGCCTTCTTCTCTTCTTCAATTCCTCCATCCTGCTGGCTAGAATGTGGATGTGATGGCTGGAGCTCAAGCAGTCATCTTGGGTTGTGAGATCTTAACCATGTGTTGATAATGACAGAGCAGCCACATGGAAGGTGCCTGGGTCTCTGACACCATGAGCCACCCTAACCTCTATTACTTTGCTAGGGCTGCTATAGTAAAATACCAAAGACTGGGTAGATTAAACAACAGAAACTTATTTTTATTTTCCTACAATTCTGGAGGCTGGAAGTCCAAAATCAAGGTGTCAGCATGGTTGGTTTCTCCTGAGGGCTCTCTCCTTGACTTGCTGATGACCATTTTCTCCCTGTATCCCCACATGGCCTTTTCTCTGTGTGTACACATTCCTGGTGTCTCTCTGTATGTCCTAACTTCCTCTTCTTATAAGGACACCACTGGATAGGATTAAAGCCCACCCTAACGGCTTCATTTTAACTTATTTACCTCTCTAAGCCTCTATCTCCAGGGTCCAGCCCAGTGGCACAGTGATTAAGTTCGCACGTTCTACTTTGGCAGCTTGGGGTTCACTGGTTTGGATCCTGGGTGTGGACATGGCACCACTTGGTACACCATGCTGTGGTAGGCATCCCACATATAAAGTAGAGGAAGATGGGCACGGATGTTAGCTCAGGGACAGTCTTCCTCAGCAAAAAGAGGGGAATATTGGCAGCAGATGTTAGCCCAGGGTTAATCTTCCTCAAAACAAAAAAAAAGGAGAAGAGCCTCTATTTCCAGATACAGTTGCATTTTGAGGTATAAAACTCAACATCTGAATTTTTTGGGGGGACATAATCAGCCCATAAAAAACCCCCTTATATTTATGTTTGTGTGAGAAAAAAGCAAACTTCTAACTTGTTCAAGCCCCAGTTATTGTTATTTTTGTTATTATTATTTGTTATATGTATTGAGTAATCCTAATCAATACAATGATCACATAGGTTCTGTTTGCGGAGGCCTCTGAAACTACAAGAGCATGGAAACGAAAGCCCACAAAAGTAGGCCAGAATCCACCTACATGCTAAACCAAAACAGGGCAACTCATTGCCAAAACTGAAGATTTAGTATGAGAAAGTCTACTAACACAATAACAACAATGTCCAGGATACAACAAAAAATCACTCATCAGACCAAGAACCAGGAAAACCGCAATTCGAATGAGAAATGACAATCAACTGACTCCAATTCCAAGATGAGTCATCATAAAAAATACCTCAATAGTCAATTATGAATTCTTTCAAAAAAATAGAAAACCTCAGCAAAAAATAAGAGTCATGAAGAAGAACCAAATGGAAATTACAGAACTGAAAAAATGCAGTAACATGCGAAAACAACTCACAGATGGACTCAATAGTGAAAGGGAGGTGGTAAAAGACAGAATCAATGAACCTGAACAGATCAATAGAATCTACTCCTTCTGAAGAATAGACAGAAAGCAGACTGAAAGAAAATGAACAGAGTCCCAGTGATCTGTGGGACAATAACAAAAGAATCTAACATTTGTAGCATGGGAGTACTGGAAGTAGACAGAAAAAACCCTATAGACTGAAAAAGTATTGAAGAAATAATGGCTCAAGAAGCTGAGTGAACCCCAAAAAGGATAAACCTAAGCAAATTCACACTAAGACACGTGCAAACTTCTGAAAACAGAAGACAAGTGAAACAAATCTTAAAAACAGCCAGAGAAACAACCTGCTGTCTATTAAGGACCACTAATTTAAATGACAGCAGATTTTGTATCTGAAAACACAGGGGCCAGAAGGAAGTGGCACATTTTTCAAGTGCTGAAAGAAAAGAACTGTCAACTATGAATTCTATATCTGGCGAAATTATCCTTCAGGATTGAAGGGGAATAAGGACATTCTCTGATGAAAGAAGACTATGATAGTTTGTTGCTAGTTGACCTACCCTTAGAAATGGCCAAAGGGAGGAATGTCCAATTAATCTTTTTTGTTGTTGTTGCTTATGCTTGGTGGCATGTCTAAAATCTAAACAGACTTAAAATAATTTAAATCAAACAGAGAATGTTCTCTGACAATAATAGAATCAAACTAGAAATTGGTAACAGAAAGATGACAGGAAAAATCTCCAAAATGATTGGAAAATAAACAACATATTTCTAAATAATCTACAGGTCAAAGAGGAAGTCTCAAAGGAAAGTGAAAAACACACAGAACTAAATTCATGGAATAAAAATGACCCCCCCCCCCCACCAACTGTAGGCTGCAGCTTATGCAGTATTTAGTGGGAATTTATGGCACTAAATGCTTACATTAGAAAAGAGGAAATATCTCAAGTCAATAATCTAAGTTCATCCCACAAGAAACTAGAAAAATTCATTCTAGTTTCATTTTGCTCAAATGAAGTCAAAATGAACCGAATTCAAAGCAGAAGGAAAGAAATAATAAAGATAAGAGCACCCATGTGGCCATTATACCGGGCACCCTGAGTGGGCAGACTGGACCTGAGCCCCTGGGAAGGACAGGGCTGAGTCCATAGAGTCAGACTTGGTTCTGTGGGTGGGACATGGATGAGAAAGAGAAAGATGGGGGTGACTCTGAGGTCCTGGTCTTTTCTCTTCCCCTGCAGGTCACAGACAGATCGGGGAGCCCTAGGTGTCTGTTCTACCCTGAGAGATGGATCCTCATGCCCCACGTGTCCCTCGGGAGGAATGTTTGCTCTGCTGGGAAAGAAGGCAGATGGCAAAGTCCTCTGACACAGGCACAGGGCTCAGCCTGGAGGAGCTGGGAGAGTAGCCCAGGGGTGTGGCTCAGTCCTGCTGCCCAGGGGGTTCAGCTGGGGATTGGGGAACAGGATGCTGTGCTCAGGGGGTGCTCCAGGCTTTATGATGGGTATGTTTCCAAGATCGGGCACCGAGGGTCAGAAGTTAATCATGAAACTGTTCCTCTATACTCCTAGGCAAGACAGTGGCCTGACTCTCAGGGACAGGGAGATTCCCTGAGAGCCCAGAGCAGGCTCTCAGTCTCCTCAGGCCACCCTCTGGATGTAGAATCCGCCATGTGGGGAGTTGTCATGGATGTGCCAACAACTAAAGTCCAGACACACGCAAAAGTTTTGTGATTTATAAATTAGAGCAGAATTAGGTTATCCTGTAATAAGCAACAAAACTCTCCCTTATTGCATCTCTCTCATGCAGCATAGACATGGGTAGTATTTCTTTCCCACAGTCCCTTCTCATTGCATCCTCCCTGCTGCAGCCCCTGGGCTGAGCATCGCTGTGACACTGTCCGTGGTGCTGACCACCACAAACTATCCAAGGGCTTGGGAGTGTGATCTTTGAGTTGTGTCTGCTTTATTTTCATTCTTAACAACTGAGCATGACTAACAAGGGAGAGGTGGAGAGGGCTTCAGGGAGTTTGGACTGGCCTCCATTTCCATGGCTCGGGAGTAGTGAGGGTGCTATGAACTTCATTGTGGAAACTGACCTCACAGTCAGGATGACCAAGTCCAGAGTGCCCAAGGGCCGTTTGTAATGAAAGATAATGAACATGGCCTTGAGAGGTGTGGTAGGCAGAACAAAGGTCCCTCAAAGGTGTCCACATCTTCATCTCCAGAATCTGTGGATAAGTTACATGAAAAGGGAATTTTCAGATTAAATTAAGGATCATGTGATTGAGAGATTATGGTGGTTTATCTGGATGGGTTCAGTATAATCCAGGTTTCTTTCTTATAAGTGAAAGAAGGAGGCAGCAGAGGCAGAAGCAGAGAAGGAGATGTGATGATGGACACAGAGCACACAGAGACTTCGATGCTGTGCTGCTGGCTTTGAAGATGGAGGAAGGGTCCATAAGCCAAGGAATGCAGGCAGCCTCTAACAGCCTGAAAAGGCAAGGAAACGGACTGTCCCTTAGAGCCTCCAGAAAGGGCAGAGCCATGTTGACACCATGGCTTGTCTTGTTTTACACTGATAAGTTTGTGGTAATTTGTTACAGCAGCAATAGAAAATGAGCAAGAGGCATCACCTTGTCTAACCCAATGCTGTGTGCCGATGGGATAAGGAGTAACTTAGAGCTAAGTAACTTAGATGTGAAACTTTGCAGGTTTTGTAACTCTTTCCTATCTTGCCAGAGCTTGGGCAATGGCAGAACATCCTTGTGAACTGTGGGCTCTGTGCCTTGGTGATGGAGCACCTTGGTTTGTGTGAGTGTGGGTGCACCCATCCGAGTGAACCTAAATGGGAACATCACCCTTCCCAAGTGATGTCAGTTCTTCAGGGAGGGACTGAGAACTGCTGGCCCAGGTGTGTGTGTGTGTGTGTGGGGGGGGGGCTGCAGGTCAGGCACAGGTGGGAGGAGGCCCATGGATCAGGTCAAGGAGGAGACACTTTGTCCTGTTGCCATGGGAGCCTGGTGAGTTTTAGGTGGGAGGAGCCCATGGGCAGAAAAATGGCAAATGAGGGGAAAGTCCTTTTTATTCAGATGTCTCAGGTGGTCAACAGTGGGTTACAGGCCAAGCCACTTTCCCTAGGAGCCCCCCACTTCCTTTGGGGGGATGGGAGACTTTGTTCTCTTCCATCCAGGGCTCAGGGAAGCCTGTCTGGGTCTCCAGACATCCTGGAGGGTCCCCAATCCCTAGGCTCAGGTCCCTGAATATCTTCAGAGCTCAGAGCTGATTCTCTGGCTCAGGCTGCAGCTCTTGATCCCACAAGGGACTTGCTGGGTTGGGGGGGGGGGTTGTCTCAGGAGGGCCTCTCCCCACAGCCCTTAAGGGGAAGTTCCTGAAGGAAACTAAGAAGCCACATCTGCTTTGTGGTTAATCTGACAGTAAGTGTTTGCATGAGGATGTAGTAATTCCTGTAAAAGAGAGAAGAGGCCTCTGAGTCGCTATAACATTCTCAGAACGTGTCCCAGCCTCTCCCAGGCCCAGGGCCCACCCAAGATGCTCTGTGGGGGGCCTGGCTGGGCTGGGGGTTTTCTGCCCTCAGTCCCTTCCCTCCTTTTACCAGCCTCTATTCCACTTTTTACTGCTGTTCCCTGAACCTTGCAGAACAGCCAGGGGTGGACTGAGGTTAGATCCTGGGCCCCCTTGGGCCTGTAGCACCTGAACGTTCATTGCCCACACTCACCTGGTAGATGGGAATGACTGTCCTGGAGCCAGGTAGAGGGGCCTGGGAAGGGGAGAGAGCAGGCATCAGGGGACAGCGGGGGAGAGTCATTTCTCCTCAGGAGTGACCGGCACTGCCTCCTGAACAGCAATCTCCAAGCCTGTGGCCCTGCACCCCAATCCTGGTTCATGCTGCCCCCTGACCTTCGTTAGCCCAGGACCGCTGACTGATGCTCCAGACACCCAATGTACTCCTGGCTGGTCTCCAGGATTCTCCTCAGGTTGACTGAGGGGACCAGGGATGTGGGGTGGTAATGCTCCGGAAGTAGGGCCCACTCCTGGCCAGGGTGGCGCTTGCTTGTCTTGGATGTTCTGGGGAGTAGGGGTCTGTATTGAGCTTCAGGGTTGAATGGTCCTTCTGCTGTGAGCCTACGCAGCTGGGAACCCCCCCCCCCCCACCAGGGCAAAGGGACAGGGACAGGATGGGCTTACCGGGGAGGCAGAGCTACTGGAGGAACCACGGCCTGGGAGCAGAGACAGGAGTTAGCGCCGAGGGATGAGGAAGCTCAGACCCATCCCCCCAAGGGTGATGGGGACCTCAGCTCCCAGAGAACAAGGTGAGAGACCCTCTTGTCATTTTAGTGTCCATTTAGGGCGAGGTGGTGCCCCTGATCAGATCCCACAGGTCAGGGCTGACTAACCAGTTGAGATCCCCTATGCTGAAGCTCCAGGGGAAAGATCAGAGGGCCGGAGATGACTGGCAGGAGTGGATACTGGGCAGGACCAGGGGCTCCCAGCCGCTCCTGGGCTGAATGTACACTCACCTGGGGAGGATGCTGGAGGCCGGTGCTCTGTGAGGTCAGGCTGGCCTCTGGTCCTAGTAAAGGTCAGGCTTGTTTGTGAGGGGTGCCAGGAGAGGTCACAGCTTTGGTGTCAGAAGAGGGGACAAAGGGAGTCTTCACTTCCAAGGAGGGGGTGGAGACCTCCTTTCTCCACCAATGCTGTTTAGGAGGGGAGGGCCCAGGAGAGGGGATCTGAGGAAAGGCCTTAAGAAGCCACATCTGTCCTGGGCCCCGAGGGGGAGGACCCGCAGGCAGATGGGGGTCCAGGAGAAAGTTGTCAAGAAGGGACAAAGGACCCAGGAAAGGAATCAAACCCCCAGGGTCTGATTGAGTGGAAGTGCCGAGACCCTCAGAAGGAAAGCAGGCCAGCGTGTGTAGGACACTTGGGGGGCCTGAGGAGCTTGGAGCTTGCTGAATGTGGAGACCCTGCTGTTACTACACCCGCCCCTCAGGCCAGGAGATGCTGAGATGTGACAGTGGCCTTGTCCTTTATCTCCATCTGCCTGGACATGGGGCGTAAAGGACATTCTGGCATCTGCTGTCCTGGCCAGGCCCAGGTTCTCCGTCTCACATGTCAGGGGCTGTGGTTACCGCATCTGCCACATGCGGGGCATTTGACTCCACCCAGCCTGTCCAGGTTTTTCCACTCTCTGCTGTGTGATCTTGGCCAGGACGACCCTCAGATGCAGGCTGTAAATTCCCCTCACCGGATGGGCAGAAAGAAATAAAGAACAGGAGGTACCATTCACTGAGCTCTTACTATCTGCCAGCACCACTGTGCGTCCGCTGAGTGAACTAGGACAACATTAAAGGGTTGGTTCCTTACTTGTGCCTAATCTATAAATAAGGAAGGTTGAGGAAGCGGCCCCAGGTCAGTGGCTGGTGAGGGAGGAGCTGGATGGAAGGAGAGGGGACAATCCACCAGGGAAGTTGGGGGGCTGTGGAGAGCCAGGCTCAGAATCTGAGGAAGGGGTCTCCTTCCTCCTGCCCTGGGGTCAGCCTGGGGGACAGGAGCAGCGTGTGAGAGATACCATCGTACCTGCTAGTCCTTGTAAGGAACAGGAAATACCCCAGGGCAGCCACTAGCACCACCCCGACCAGGACCCCAATCACGATGCACGCAATGGCCCTCACAGGGAGGCCTGTGGTGTTTTTTTCTGCTGAAAGGAGAAGAGAAAGGGGGAGGAGATGAAGGCCTAAGTCCATTCCAGGGGAAACCACAAGGGGCCTTGCAGGGGAAGGGCCTGGTGGGAAGAGGGAAATGTCCCCCAGGTCTGTGTGTGGTCTCTGTGAGTATGGTCATCAGTGTTTGTTTCACATTTGAAACCTTGGACTTGCTCTAACTCCTCACATCCTCCCAGAGGTAGCCAGTCCCATGTCCTGTTCATTTTCTTTTTAAGGCCTCCTTTCCTCTCACATTACGTCTCTTCCCTCTGCTTCTTTCCATCATTATTGATGGTCTTAGAGGGCAGGCTCTACCAGTCAGCCCAACGCTTGTTAGTAATGATAATGTGAGCTGACTGTTTTCAGGTGCCTCCTGTGTGCCAGCAAAAGTGGAAAATACTTTATGTCCATCTCATCTGATCCTTCCACCCCAGGAGAGAGAGGGTGTGTCATCCCCATTGTGCGTAAATAGAATCTGAGACCCATAAAATACCTAAATGGTCTATAGAAGTCACAGAACTGGGAAGTGATATAACTAGTTCTTGATTTTACAGTTAATAACATTAATAAAATAATAGCTGCTAGTTTTGATTGAGCCCTGACTCTGTGAATGACCCTGTCTAAGGGCAATAATCTCATTAACCTCCTAATAAACATCCTTACACCCATCCCCCCCAAGATCCAGCTGTTCTAGTCTAGTTTTATAGGTAAGGAAATTGAGGCTCAGGTGGTTGAGTGTCTTCCCTAAGGTCAAACATCTGATGCATATCAGAACCAAGACAACAAGATTAGTCTAATTCTGGGGTTCTTATCCATGCTGTTCTACAGGCTCTGGAGGAAGCTCCCACTTTCTCATCCATTTCTCACCCTGTGCCAGTGGAATATACAAGAGAGGAACTGGCAGAGGTCGAAGGTCACTCACAGCTCACAGCCAGGGTGATGAAGTCACTTTTGATGGAAGTGACTGGGTTGGAGACCTCACACTGATAATCCCCGGCATCCTCCCTTGTGATTGGGTCTATGGTGAGGGTGTGGTTCTCGTGGGACAGCTTCATCCTCTCTGTCAGCCGCAGACTCTGGTTATAGAAGAACCACTGGATGGAGATCCCAGTGTCATTGGTGAGGCAGGTCAGGACCACGACGTCCTTCTGTTCTGTGACTGTGATGTTGCTGGCTTGGATGGAGGGCTGTGCCACTGGCTCTGTGGAGAAAAAGAGGAGGTGACTGATGGAGAAGGGGCCTGGGGCTTGGGGCCAGGCTCCTTCCTCAGAGATCTCAGCCAGTTCCCAGCTCCCACGGTGAACTGTGTGAAGGTGACCCAGAAGATGGCCCTGGCCCTGTGCACAGCGTTGAGAGTATTTATTCAGGTGACAATTTGTGAGGAGAGGGTGGCCCCTCCTCTCTGACCCCCAGATTACCCCAGGGTGACCCCTGATCAGTTCCCCTGGACATCTCTGTATTTCCAGCACCAGGAAACTCTTCTCAGCCTACACGTCCTATAACCTCATCATCGAGTGGATTTTTTTCCCTGTGGACTCTTGTGTGACTCTTTTCTAGAACTTTTGTGACTTTAAAAGGTCAGGCCCTGATCCTCATGTAAACTTCTGTGTCTATTGGGGAAGGCAGGCTTGCCATCCCAGCCCATCTCTGGGGCCCAGGGAACTTCCTGTAAAGTACAGAAGGCATTTACTTCTTGTTAAATAATTTATTAGGGAATGAGGATGGCCCCACCCACTGTCCACAACCCAAGGACCTGGAGAGCTTCTAATCTAAAGGATTTCTCATGCTGAAGAGGACTTACTTCCAAGTCTGTGGATTGAATATCACGGTGAAGGAAATCTCTAAAGAATCGGTTACTGATTTAACAAAATACTGGCACTCTTAGGAATAGAAGGGAACTACTACAAGATACTGAAGGCCTTACATGGAAGGCCCACAGCTAGCATCATACTCAATGGTGAAACACTGAAATATTTTCCTCTAAGATCAGGAAGAAGACAAGGATGCTACTTTCACCACCCCTATTCAACATAGTCCAGAAATCCAGTCCAGAACAAGTAGGCAAGAAAAAAAAATAGAATGCATCCAGATTGAAAAGGAAGAAGTTCATTACGTCTGTTTGCAGATGGCATGAACTTATGTGTAGAAAACCATAAAGATTCTAAAAAAACTGGTAGAACTGATAAACGAATTCAGCAAAGTTGCAGGATACAAAATCAGCATACAAAAATCATGTTTTTATACACTAATAATGAACATCTGAAAAGAAAATTAAGAAAACAATTTCATTTACAATAATATCAAAAAGAAAAAAAGTACTTCAGAATTAACCAATGAGGCAATAGACTCGTACATGGAAATCTATAAAATGTTGCTAAAAGAAATGAAAGAAGACACAAATAAATAGAAAGACGTCCATGTTCATGGATGGACAGACTTAATATTGTTAAGATGACAATACTACCCAAAGAGATCCACAGATTCAATGCACTCCCTATCAAAATCCCAACAAAGTATTTCGTAGAAATCGAAACTCCCAAATATTCATGTGGAATCTCAAGGGACCCCAAATGGCCAAAATAATCTCAAAAAAGAACAAAGTTGGAAGACTCTCACTTCCTGATTTCAAAATTGACTGCAAGGCTACAGTAACCAACATTGTGTAGGTCTGGCATAAAGACAGACATATATCCCAATGGAATAGATAGAAACTCCAGAAATAAACCTTGGCATATATGGTCAAATGATTTTTGGCAAGATTGCCAAGACCATTCAATGGGGGAGGAAATCAATTCAAGAAATGGTAAAGGGAAAGCTGGATATCCACATGCAAAGGAAAGATGCTGGACCCTTACCTCACACCATGTGGAAAAATTAACATAAAATGGGTCAAAAATCTAAACATAAGAGTCAAAACCATAAAAGTCTTAGAAGAAAACAGAGGAAGCTCTTCTTGAAATTGGATTTACCAATGATTTCATAGATATGACACCAAAAGCACAAACAATAAAAGAAAAAATAGGTAAGTTCAATTACATCAAAACAGAAAACTTTCATGCATCAAAGGATACAATCAAGAGAGTGATGGCAACCTACAGATTGGGAGAAAACATTTGCAAATCATGTCTGGTAAGAGATTAATATCCAGAATAAATAAAGAACTTCTGCAATTCAACAACAACAAAAAGGAAGTTGATCCTAAGGATCCTCCTTTCTTCTCCCTCTGTGAAGCCCCCTCCACTGTATGGGGCTTTCTGGGGCTGAGAGAACCCCCTCCCCACGTTCTAGCTGGACCCACATCTGCCCTGGGAAATCAGAGAGCAAGAGGAGGAAGCGTCTGCAGAGATGTAGTGGGAGGGTCCAGGGACAGATATGGGATTTGCTTGTGTCCTTGGAAAGAGGCTGGGAAGTAACTTCTTTCAGATTCTTTTCTAAAAACCAGCAGGCTCCACCCCAGAGCCTGGTGCTGATGGTCCAGGAAGCTGACTCTGATTGCTGATGCAGGTAGTTTTGTTCTAGAGTGAACACGGATGAATTCTCTATCTACTCTCACTCCCCAGACCAGGATCTCTCCCCCACCTAAGAAGAAAGGATCTGTCCCAGTGGCTGGTCTCAGGGGCCATAGATGCCTAATAAGGCCCCCGGGTGGAGGAGGGGATGGGGCTGTGGCTGCAGACAGACCCCTAGTGACTCTCATCTGTTGCTCATGGTCTGTGTGACCCTAATCCAGAGACCGTATCTCCCTGTGCCCCAGGTTCCCCTAGATACAATACAGTAAATGATAAGAAGTCTCTTTAAGCCATATTGTCTGTGAATTAAGGTTAAAACATCCCTAAATACCTGATGTAAATCTTGGTAATGTGCAGATGCCCAAATAAACGTCATCCGTTATTGTGTGCCTCCACGAGAGCGGGCTCCTGTGCTGATCCCTGGTGGAAGAGGAGCTGTCAGGAGCATCCTCTCTCCTTTGTTCCTCCCTCAGGACACTGACCTTCCTCTGGAGCCTCTGAAGTCCCCCAGGGCAGTTGACTAATGGCCTGGGGACCTTATCCACCTGTGCTCTCCACGCTGAGTCTCAGGTGAAGGACCAGGCTCTGTCCCTGCCCAGATGTGGCTCTTGGGGCTGAGCCCTGGCTGGTGACCAGCTCCGGAGCCTCGACTTGGGCAGCCAGGAAATCATTGCTCCCAGTCATCCCTGCCCAGGACACCAAAACCCAACCCTGGCACAGGGTCCTCAGGGTCACTGGAGTCAGGAGCCTTGGGACAGGGGTCTGGGCAGGGGCTTCCCAAGGCTGAGCTTCTCTGTGAGAATCCCAAGGGGTGCCTCTTCCAGGCCCTGACTGAGTCCTGCAGGGTCTTACTCAGGGTCTTGGTCCTGGGGAGGGCCCCAAGGTCCTGGACTGAGACTGACCTCCCCCTGCTGAGTTACTCCCATCAGACTGGTCTTTCTCTCTGCAGGGAATGTCTGCAGGATCTGGATTCTGGGAAAGGAATTCCAATCTTTTGAAGTTTGTCTCTACTGTGTGTGACCTGCACTAAATGCCTAAACCCCAACACGAGACATAAAGCAGAGGGGAATGTAGGCACAGTCCAGGCCTGTCAATCCTGTCTGTGTGAAGTAGAATTCGCCCCACCCAACACCCAGAGGTCAGAGAGGAAGAGGATCTACTCACTGTATATGCAGAGTTGTCCAGTTCCTACTTCACTGTGAAAATTTTTATTTATGACTTGTAGGGTATAGTATCCTGTGTCCTCCTGGGTGACCTTCTGTAACAGCAGGGATCCATTGGGGTACATTCTCTCCCGACCACTGTATAGAGGCCCTGGGATAATTTCTAGTCGCTCTATCACATGCAATGCAATTTGTTGATCGGGATCTACTCTGTCCCCTTTGTACCAGCCATAGGCGGCAAGATTCCCAGGCAGATTGTGGACAAGCAGAAGAACATCCTTTCCTTCAGCAGCATTGGTCGGCACTGATTCAATAGTGAGTTGGGCAGTGGTGAGTGTGTTCCAAAAGGTTGAGAGTGAGACTAGGAGGGAAGAGAGAGAGATCAATCAATATTTGGACCTATGTATTGGGATGGAAAGATGAGGCCTAGGGTCCTGAGGCGGTCTCTTCCTCTCTTAGACTTGGAGTGTGAGTCTGTGTGTGTGTGTCTACTGGTCAAAGCCAGCAGCATGACCACCATTACTTCAGCCCCTCTGAACTTATTTCCTCTGTTCCCATTACTCTTCCCCAGGTGTCTGCCCAGCTCACTCCCTCACTGCCCTCAGCGCCCTGCTTACTCTCAGGGGCATCCTTGGGAGATGCCTTCCCTACCACCTACTGAAAGACCCTCTGTCTTCACTTTCTGACCTTTCCCTGCTCGTTCCCTTCATGACATTGTCAGTCCCCGACATCACATTCTAGATCTCTTGCTTATCTCTCCTCATCCCCACAGAGTGTGTGCTCCTGAGGACTTGTCTGATCTTGTTGTTCTCCCAGTGTCTGGAACAGGCTGCAAACACCTGTGGATGAATGAATGAGTGTTCTCAGGGCCCTCCATGTCCTGGTGTTTATTTGCCAGTTTCTGAGGTTGGGGTAAGGACAATGTTTCGTGCCCTTAGCCAAGTTTTTCTTTAGGTGTCACCTTGCATATTATTATTATTATCATCAGTTTTCAAAGTTCAAAACTCAGTGATAAATAACTTGTTATATGAACAGTAATTTAGGTTTTTCTGCCCCTCACCACTTCCAGATTGTGAAATTTTCCTGTTGCTGAGCTCCCTCCACCTATCCTACTCTGGTCCCCTGTCCTCTCCCATCAGGTCCAAACAGAAGTCCTCTGGCCCCTCTTAGAGCCCTTTCGCCCCTAGGAGACCTCTGTTCTCCCATCTCCTTCCCACCTACAGGGAATGTCCCCTCTCACCTGCCAGCAGAAGCCCCTGACAGGGGATGTGCCCTCTGTGGGGAGGGGCTGAGGGGGGCTCCATGGTGTCTGCTGCCTGCTCTGTCCCTCCCTCTGTGAGAAGAGCCTGGGCTCCAGAAATGCTCACAAGCACTGCTCTCCAGATGCTTCAGCTCTGCTTCCTCTGTGCTGAGCTTCCTCCCAGGAGAGGAGAGCTTCCTGGGCCACGTGGGCTGGGGGCGGGGTCTCTGCCCAGGACCCTCCTCCTCCCTCCCCTATTCCAGCCCCCCTTGTGCCCTTCTTTGTCTGTCCTTTCTAACTATGTTTCTGTTCCCTGGGAACTGCTGAGTCCTCTGCCTTCTTCAGCAGTGATTCCCCACCACACACACACACACACACACACACACACGCACACACATATCCTTGTTTGGACAAGAACTAGCCTGGGGCATCCTGTCCTGGGCAGTCCTCACAGCTCTGGGTCCCAGTGCACAGTCACTCTCCCCTCTCTCATACCCTTCTATCTTTCCCTTCAGAGCAGAGGCTGGGGGCTACACCTGGAACTCTTGTCACAGAGATGCCACCTCTGCTGTGCATTGGAATCACCTGTGGAACTTTATAAAGATTGTGAATGTCCAGGTGACACCTTAGAAATGATGCTTTAGCAGCTGCCTTGGTAACATGGATGCCCCGCCAGGCTGAGATCCCAAGATATGAGGGCTGGGACAGCCTCTCCCCATTTCCTGTGCACAAGGAGGGCCTGCAGATCCTGTTAAAATGCAGATTGTGACCTGGCAGGTGTCGGGTGGACCCGAGAGTCTGCATCTAACAAGCTAACAAGATCAGGTGATGCTGATCACACTGGCCTGTGGAGTACACTTTCAATAGCAAGGCTGGCGGGGACCCCTGTGCCCAGAGAGGACAGCCTGCCCACCCCAGCATTGGCCTCTGCTGTGTCTTGTCCTTGGATCTGTCAGCACCCCACAGAGACCCAGGAGTCTCCAAATCCGGGGGGATTATTTTTGTGACACAGAAACCCAGCTGGCCACCAGGGTCTTCCCAGTGTCCTCAGATGCTCTGGGAAGGTTGGATTTACTTTCAGCAGGAAGGTCACAGAGATGACGCTGGGGGTGAGAAAGGGGCAAGCAGAGTGATGGCTGGTGAGGGGACTCACTCTCCATCTCCAGTGTCACCAGCCTGGCCTCTGCTTCCAGGGATAGAGACCGAGTACCCATGTCTCAGCAGGAGCTGAAGTTCCTGGGTGTGAAGGGGGAGGCTTCCTGTGTGTCCTGGGTGAGAGGATGGTGGGGGTGGGAGGTCAGGTGGCTGTGGGCTCCTTGTTCTTCAGGGGAAGGTTTCAGGGAGACCCTCCCTCTTCATGTCTGTTGGCTGCTCTGTGGCTCTGAGCCTGTCCATGTGCTCCCTCACCATCCTGGGGGCCTCTGTCCTCTGCCTGGCTTTCTTGTGGACACCCTGCCTTCCCCATGGGTGGTGCCAGGCAGGGAGTGGGGAGCTGCACAGGGACCCCTGACAGAGCAGGGTGCTCTGAGGCCCTTAGAAGTAGCAGGCAAGACAAAGCAGGCAAGTAGGAGGGACCCAGAGGGTCTTTTGGACCCACCAGTGGAAATCAGGCTTCTTCTCCACCCTCTTAGCCAAAGCCACATTCCTGTGTTAATTTCCTGTGTGTTGTCTGTGTGTCCCAATGTCGCCCCCTGGAGGGCATGAGGAGACCTGCAGCCAATGTCAGGGGCTGCACCCGGGATACTGACCAGGCTCCAGAGGGTGTGAGCTGACCCTGAGCCCTGAACAGAGGTGGGCTGTGACCTCCATGCTGCAGGGATCTGTCAGCTCAGGTCCTGTCACTGGGGATCTCAGACTGCCTGACTCCATCTCATTGCAGGATGAGCCCAGGGAGAAGTCAGACGATGTCCAGTGGACTCCTGATCCAGTGTCCCGTGCTGCCTGGCGAATGTGCTCCCTTGGGAGGAGCTTTCTGTCCCCGAGGTTTCAAAGGAAGGGCCCAATGAGTGGTCTCTTGAGGTCTCAAAGCACCCTGGGAGCTCTCTAGTCCTGGCGTCTGGTCCCCAGAATGCGTAGTGTTTCTCCCAGCACTAGGGTGTTGCATCCAAGTCATCTGTGTCCCTGTCTGTCATCTGCTCTAGGTATCCCCACAGGGCCCAGGAGCTGGAGCAGCTCCACGTGGAGAGTCAGACAGAGGAAGGTGGGTTCCTGTATTAGGAGAGGGGTGGCCCCATGGGACCCTCAGCCCCTCTGAGATGGAAATAGCCACAGATCCTTGCTTGTCCTGTCCCATCCTGGATGGGAAATTCCCCTTATAGCCCTGACTCCATGGGCTGTCTTCAGGGACCACAGCCAGGTGCACCCACAAAACAGGGGCCCTGGGGATGGGAAGTTGCCCCCTGATATTTCTGTGATCAGGGTAGGGGTCCAACCTCCACTGGTGGTAAGTCCACTTGGGTCAAGAATCCAGCATTTGTGTCGGGTCCGGTCTCTGTGAGAAGAGGAAGGACACAGGCTCCAGCCCAGGCCCTCCAGGGAGAGAAGTCACTCACAAGGTAGAGATGGGGAGGGGGTGTGATTTTTCTGGGACAAACGGGGATCCGACCCCTCACTGTTAGGAGGCCCCATCCTCTCTCCTGACTCTGCAAGGGGTAAAGGGCTGTCCCTGGGACAGCCGCAGGTACTTGCTGGTTTCCTCCCATGCAGATGCCAGTGTCCTTGTGTCTACACAGCAAGTGCCCTGACCCCCAAGTGTCAAAAGAGGGTGCAGACTTTGATTGTATGGTTTCCCTCATCCCATTTAACAGTGTTTATTAAGTAATTGTTACTGGATGCAGACAGGGATGCCTGGATATCTGGCCCGACTTGTTTCTCATCCTTGCAGACATTGTGGCTGGAGTGGAGGCTTTTGTTCTGAGTCCCCGGCTGGGCACAAGGAAGGGACCTGATGTCCTCATCTCCCATCAGGGATTGATCATAGTGGCCTGTGTCCTGTCTCTGACTCCTGCTCGCACTGCAGATTCCTTGTCAAACCTCTGTCTCCCATACTTGCACCTCCTAAGGCTACAGCACTGCCTCCCTGGCACAGGGGTCTGCATGCTCTTTGTGCTGAGCCAACCAGACCCTCCACCCCACACGATGCTCCCGGCTTTGGAGAGAAGGGCCAGGTGATGAGATCGAGGTGTCTTGTGGGAAAGTACCTCCAGCCTTGGGGACCCACCTGAGGAGACTGGCTGTCCATCTGGTTGCATCTTGGCAGGAGGTTACAGGGTCAAGGAGGGCCCAGGAGCTGCCCTGTGAGAGCTGCACACAGGTTCAGTGCTTTCCAGTAGGTATTTGGCTTCCAGAACTCTGTGATGTGGACCGGATCGGAGGTGAAAAGCACAGGGCTCTGGTGATGGTTGGGACAGAGCCACGAAGATAGCATGGGACTGTCTGGTTGCGGGCCCTGCACCTGCCCATCAGTGCCCGGGGACTCGGTGCTATCAGGGCGCAGGGACAGCCCAGGGCACCCTCGCTGTCCTGAGGACCGGGGGAGCTCCAGCCTTGGTTCCTCTTGCTGCTGGTCACAGGTGATGGGTTCTGGGAGAGGGCCCAGGGGCCACCTCTAGTTTTGTATTTGAGATTTAAAGGGAAAAGGGGAGTCATTTCTACCAGGTCACAAAATTATAGAAAGCCTCTTTCTACAGAAGGGCCCTCTTATCATTGTGAAAATGAACATAATGCAGTGGATGCTCTTTTAAGGAAAAACAAATAACTATTTTAGTTTTATCAGTAACTGTGATGCATGCTTTATTCTCTAGTTCATTGTTAATGTAACTTTTGTATTTTGTCTCTTAAACAAATGTTGAAAGACTACAGGATCCATGTTTCAGCATAGGAATGTGAATTTTATGGACTCTCCTAGGATTTTAAGCTTTCACGTGTTCGTATAGATCTTCTGAGAACACTAATGTGATTTCTCTTTGTCCATTTCTACCAGACATCTCTGTGGAGAGCATCACACTTCCCCATAAGAGTTGGAAAGCATCTGATACCAAAAAAAAGTGTCCAAATCCTCTTGGGTGATGCTGATGACACTCAAGTGGAGGTCTGGTCAAGGTGGGTGAAGGCGACTGTTTTTGAAAACTCTTCGCCGAAAATCAAGACCAGAAGGCACCTCTTGGACCTGTCACAACATTGTATGGATGAAGGACAGAAGCAGAGATGGGTAATTTAAGTATCAAATCCAATGGTGGACAAGAGATTCTGCCCAGAGTGTGAGAGCGGACAGGTGAATGGTGAGGACACTAAACAGACGCTCCTCCCTCTAATGAGGGAGCATCAAAGGCTCCTGTGCTTCAGAGGGGGGCCCTGAGTTGGAGGAAGGGTGCTGTCAGCCCACTGGTCCTGGGAACGAGACCCCAACACTGGACAGTCTCTGACAAAGTCCATTTTTGGGGTGTAGATTCACACTTAAGGAATGATGCCAAGGTATATGATTCCGAAAATAAAGAGAAAGTCCTGTGACATAATTTTCTTCTTAATAAGATATTTTTTCCTAATCATAGACTGATTGCTAAGATGCCTCTTAAGATGGTAAGAACTCCAGAGTAGACCGTCTAATGACATTGTAGGTAGATTTATTATCAAGTATTTTTTTCATCTCAATGTCTGTACTATTTCCCTCATCTCACTTTCTTGTATAACCCAGTGATGTCATTCTGACTTGTGGTTACACCCTTTGAAAAACGAGAGACTTCCAGCTGGTTAGCTACAGGCAGCCATAAGTTAATCACCCCTAAATATGCCTCCTTCTGAACCTAAATGTGCCCTTAGTCCAAGGTCGGTCCTAATCTCTGAGCTCTCCTGGCCCCTTTTGCTCTTCGTCGAGCAGGAACCATCCACTAGAGGGCATTCCTTCTTCTGAGCTCCTGGGGAAGTTTTCTACCACCTGAGACAAACGTTGTGTTCTTACTGCCACAACCCCCAGCCTTTAAATACTCTTTAGATTTGCTCTGGGTGAAGCCCTGGGACAGACATTGGGGACCCCAGGGAGGAACCTCCCATTGGAGGAGGTGGCAGCCTGGACTCATGACCTGGACCCAACCCCAGGGCCCAAGTCATTGGGGAGAGGGGTGATTCCAAGCACAGTGGGCAGCGAAGGCTGGACACTCAGGCTCTAGGTGCCCCTGCCCAGGT